AATCTTATCAAATTCACTCGTAGATGAAGTAATGAAAGTAGTAACTCCGTTACTACTTTCATTACTTCACCTACCAATTTTAATATTTCATATGTAAGAGTAAAATAATATTCAATTTCAAACGTATCGATTTAAACCAGCCTTCTGTAATAATATCCACTCCCTCTGTGTTGTTCGATAACGTTATTTATATAGAAACGTAGAAAATACCTCACTTGTTTGTTTTCTCTGAAACTGGAAAGGAAGGAACAACTGGGTACAATCATATCGTATTTACTTCAGTAGTAGGTATTAAGCTGTTTCGGTGACACATAGTAGAATTTACCTAATTTTATTATTGTTTATAAGTTTTAGGCCTGGTACTTTGAGTCTCGATTAAAGCTTGATTAACTGATCAGGCGATTAGACTGTGCATATATAAATTTATTTTATAAAGTATAATCAGTCTAATCGCCTAATAATATAATTTAATAATAACATACGAGCAGTATAATTTTAATTTGAAGATAACAACTTTTAATATAATGACTGGAAACCACAAACCATAGTAGACTTATGAAATTATATCAGACTATCCAAACTGCAATAAGAAATACGTATCTGCATAGCTTATTCTATAAATATTTACAATAAAACAGTTGTAGATTGTAATTAAAATTGGCACTAATGAATAAATTCCTTAATTATCTAAATGTTATAATTTGCCGACAAATTAAAACGATATGTTCCAGTTTTTTGGCCAATGAAAGTACAAAATTTGCTACAATTGCTACCAATATAGCTTGACTAATCTGTTGGCGATTTATACGTTAAAAAATTGGTAAACAAAAATATATAAGGGCTATGTTTAAGTTCACCAAAAAATAAACAAAGCAGATATATTTGAAATTAAAAAAAAATTCAGTGCAATATTACAAATTCGAATAGAAAGCAAAAGAATTCCACTTCCAATTCTAAGAAATAGTCTGTTTCTGTCAGAAATATTCATACATTTGCATCTACATTTTGCAAGCAACATGTTCAGCGTACCATATGCTGTCACATGTAATTTTAGTGAAGTTTCCAGCTTTCCGACGGCAGCTAGATTTTCTTGATATCGGCTGCGAATATTTTACGTACGAAGGAAGACAAAACGAAATATACAATCTGTACTACTGGAGAACACATTATCTTTAGGTAATTTTGAAGTAAGTTTATGAATAAGTTGATTATTTTCATCAAATATATTCCAAAAAAAAACTGCAGCAAATTTGATATAACTATTTTTGGGTGCCACATTTTATTTTTTCATTTAAGAATTAATTTATGATCGACTTGAAATGTGATTTGCCATTTGAATGATGAAAATGGTACCTATCTTTTTTATATTTAACTAAATTTTGTATATACATATACCAAAAAACATCCAAATTTAGTTATTTTCTCGTAGACAGGTTAGTGGACATAAAACTCACGTCACTTTCGATCGATTCTCTGTTCCCATTTATATTGAAAAAGCCGTTGAAGTTTTTCAGGAACTACAGTTTCTTATTATTATTTTAATGATACCGGAATTGGGAAATGTACAATGCAGCAAATACTACGGTAATATATTATTTATATTCAAATATATTCATAAATTTTTTGGATATATCTAGAAATTATTGAAGTTCAAATTTAGATTAGTCTGTGTGATACGAGAGTTGTGGTAGGTAATTACCTGGGCTTGACAAGAAAAAAAACATTTTTATTTGCAAAATTTATTTTACTTTTCATCGTAATCACCTTTCAGTTCGATATACTTAGTTCAACGTTTTTTTTATCTATTGTATCCCTTCTAAAAAATATGATTGTTCCAACCTATCAAAATAAGTGTTCGTTTCAGCAATGACCTCATCGTTAGAGTCAATTTTTTTGGGACGAGCCATTTATTCATATTTGGAAATAGGAAATAATCGCTGAGTACTAAATCTGGCGAATATGGTGGATGTGGAAGCAATTTATATCCTCTCATGGAATTTGGTGGAAACGATCCAATAAGTTGACATTAATCGTTTTGTTCTTTTTAAGGTACAACCCAAAATATTGTAGACATGACTTTGTTCATCGATAAAGTCGCCTTTGGCTCAGATTCTCCACGGAAAACCCACTGTTTGGACTGTTCTTTGGTCTCTGGCCTGCTGTGAGAAATCATTTCGATTGCGTCTTAACATCGTTAAACGTTCTTTTAAAGTGTGTGTTTGCTGTCAATTGTGACTAATCGCGGCACCCATTTTACGGAAAGCTTTTTCATATCCAAATGAGTTGTTAAAATATTCTGCACCCGTTCAATTGAGATGCCCACAGTCTCAGCAATCTCAAACATTTTCAACTCTCCGCACGTTTATCACGATACCGTGGATTTTTTTCAATTATTTCTGAAATTGTAACCTCATTTGGACGATCTGGGCGATCTTTATAAAAAAATCCACTTTTAAATTCAGCTGTACAATATTTTATGGTTCATAACGAAGGTGCAGTGTCCCCATAAACTTTGCTGAGCTCCGTTTTAATCTCATTATTTGTTTTCTTTTTCAAAAACAAGTATTTCATCACCGCTCAAAATCATTTTTTTCCATTTTTGTAAAATTATAAAAGTTGTTCTATTTAAATGGCTGGCATTCACAAACTAAACTAAGCAGCAACTTAACGGTTCGACATTGTTGTTGCGAATGGTTATATTTACGAAAAGTATCACTAACAGCGCCATATCTTGCCTAGGCCAGGTACTTATCATACAGCCCTCGTATTAAAAATACAAACCTATTTTCCTTTGTAATATTAGAATACAACAAGGAATATATGTACTAAAAAAATATACTGAGATAAAGAAATTTAGTTAACTTTTAATAAAGAAGATATTCTCTAAACATTTACCTCTATTGAAACTGAAAAGGATCATTTCATTCAATTTGATTTTGCTCTCACAAAATATCCACTGAGTTTCATCCTAAAAAAACTAAGTGCGCTATATTTTAAGAAACAGGCTTGGATTTTAATGTATGTAAAGAAAAGTTTTGTAAATGTTTGAGGTTATATCAAAGTTGATAATGTGTAACTTTGTGTCAGAAGTGGAGGAATTATATGTCAGCACCCCGCGTGAAGGATTTATTGCGAATAATAGTAAACAATAAATTGTGTTTAGCTTATACAATAAACCCAGTCAGACTATTAATTATGATTGGCACACAGAAGTTCCTTACGTATTCCGGATTAGATCAATAACTAAACAAGACAGGCAATATCTGCGGCGGAGAATGAAATTATTGAAGATTACTACCACTACAATTTAAAAATTTTGATTCAAAACAATAAGTTTTGTATATTTTTCTGTTTATATTTTTCAATAAATTTTATTGCTGCGAGATCAATAAATATTGCAGCTAATAAACGATAAACAATAGTTCGTACTGTCAAAAGTTTTTGACTCAGGAAGGATTGTTTCATTTAGTCGCGAGAGATAGGTAGTTAGTTTTGATACCTGAAGAGGAAGAAAAGATAAGAGTAATTACTGAACACGCCACGCAGGCATCAGTATGCTAATAAAAAAATTTCCACGTGATCGTTGTGGGTGAAATAGTCCATGATGAAAACAATGTTGGAAGTGCACAGAAGCGAAGATATTTCAACATTTCATAAATCAATATTCAAGATTCAGACCCAGAAAATTTCTTGAGGCTCCCGTAAAATGTAGTTAATGATTAAATAAAATGAATGAATCATTCAATGTAATGTAATCCAAGAAAATAAAATGATGTTCTTTTTGTTAATGCTAATATTAACGTAAATGTTAAACAGATATATAATATTTTTAAATTTCTCACTTATGACTAAAGTTATTCCTGTTAGAGCAAATGAAAACCGCAAAAATTAGCATTCGTACGAAATTTAGTTGTTCATATAAGAATGAAAATTTTAAAGATTTTTTACTTAATTTAATTTTTGTTTGTCATTCGTGTTTGTCATTTTGTCAATCTTTTTATCAGAATTGAAAATTACGTCAAATATATTACTTTACAAGTTTCGTTTTAATTCATTTTTGAATTTTATTTATTGTTGTTAGTTGCAGGATATAATATGAAAAGCGATAAACTCGATAGTTTTTGGAATAGTTCTTTATTTTCATGTTCAGGAAATGGTGTAACATACAGGCTACAAATTCGCTTCTCACTACAGGGATCTCGGAAACTGTAAGAGATACGAAGGAGCTTAAACAGGGGCAAAGTTGCATAATCAGGGCACCAACAATATACCTTTAAAAATCGAGGTTTTCGAAATATTTGAAAAAAAAAAACGAAATTTTGGAAATCCGTTTTTGTTTCATTTCAGCCTTTTTTGAGGTGATATTGAAAGAAGAAGAACACTTTCTCATGGCAACTTTTTGCCCCATATCGAATGGCATAATCAATTTTTATATGTAACGCTTCGTCTCTCCAGGACCATAATCAACTTCATTTCTATAAATTATTTAAGATTTTAAGTGTCAAAACACGAACTGATCTGGGAATTCTGACTCTAGATTCGGATAACATGTCAAAGTACCATAGAATATCCTGGTCTAGTCTACGGCAAAAATTCATTCTTTTAGCTTGTGGCGTTATCGGTTTTGCGTTATCACAAATTAACTCAATCCAGAAAAATTATTTAAACTTTTTCCGGCATTTGTGTCGCAAGAATATTGCACGTTTCATTTCGTAACATTATAATATGGGTCGTAGATAAAAAATATCCTATTAATTCCCAAAAGTCACTTAGCCACCCAACCATTACAGTGTGAGCACTTCGCTATGCCCTGTACAATATACACTAATATACATATACGAAAAACTTAAAAATATGTGTTTCCTCGGGACCAAAGTAGGTAATGAGATAACTCACCTTACGGAACATCTGTATGAAATTATGAAAATAATTCCGTAGCATCCAATTTTTCCCATCTTTAATTCCCTATTACCACGAAATGTATTAACGTTTACTTTCAGTTCCAGCCCCCCAAACAGGACTTTCAAAATGGCGGCGGCATCCTGCCGGAAGAAGACAGCTGCGTTATAGCGGAAATTGCCTCCGATATTAAGGAAGAAGAAGCGAATGTAAGCTGCGGTATTAAAAATATTTACATTATACATGAATTATTAAAATTCCAGGACAGTAATCCCGCGAGATCGCGTCAGGACTCCACGGACTTTAAAATTAGACTGCGGAAAGAACTGGTGAGCAGGGATGGGCACAAGTAAGTAACAAGTTCATATACTTTGCATGAAATACTCAAGGTGTCCCTCGACTGTGTATCGATGTTAAAAACGTTTTAAGTGTTTGAGATACGTCCGAAAAAATAGATATACCCAATAGAAGATAATAGTACTTCCTTATTTTAACAAAAAAATATCGAAAACTTATTCTTAAGATTGCTGTATTTAAGCAATCGATCAACTAAACTAAAATATTGAGAAACAGATTGTTTCTGTTTAGACATTTAGATAGAGACATCTTAACAGAAAAACACCATGTGGTGTATGTGGTACAGGTAGCGTTGGAAGCTGTTAAGTAAATTGAATTTTATTAAATCAAAGGACTTCTACGCTTAGGGCTAATGTAATATCGTTATCCGAAATCTCTCGTGAAAGAAGTGGTGAGATTGCTAAACCGATGAATACACCTGTATCAGTGCGAACAACATCTGGAATATACAGGGTGACTCAGTTATAATGTCATTAATGTTAATCGCGTATTTGTAAAGGCCTAATAAAGACAGCAAATCGAAAATAAAAATTTTCTAGACCATTTAAAAAATAAGTAAATTAACCCTTAACTCGGCGCACCAATTTATAATAGAAAAAGCGCAGTGCAGGCCAGCGGAGTACATAGCGATCGAACATTGTAGCGAATCAGCTGATTTCCTAGTCGTCGTCTCGTCCAGTTTTGCAATTGCTTTCACAATTAAAGTGCAATGGATCTCAACTTTATTAAGACTTTATGAACGAATGTGTGAGTCTTTATTTTAGCCGTACTGTCATTTTAAATGGGTAGGTAGCATAAGCTATGTCACACAATAAGTTATACGTACTACAAACTGAATAATGAATTGATAACACTAAAAAGTCATATTAAATTATAAAACGTAGTGAATACATTGACAATTTTAAAAATACTAAATTGTATAACCATTATTCGAAAACAATTACCTATTATCCTTATACATTTATTTTGATTAGCAATTAAATAATATTTGTTAATATTTGAAAAGCAAAAAATATCTTATTCATTCACGGATTGAAAAGTCATTAAAATCTGAATTAATGCACGCATATCAAGAGTTGGTCAAGATTAATTATGGAAAAATCTTTGTGGGTCGGCGGTCAGGAGCGCTCCAAAAAGGGGTTTAAGTAATGATTTGAAAATATTTTAATTTATTTTAATACAGGGTGTCCCACCAGGAGCTGCGTCGATCGATATCTAGGAAAGTACTGCTCCGAAAAATTTGAAAATTTGGCAACATGGCAATGTCCCTAGGGTGAACACAACTAAAATGTCTAGAACATCAGAATGTCAGCACTTCCGGTTATACCAGAAGTCGACTCCAACTTCGTTATTTTAAATGGGACACCCTATATATAATCGCATATTCGGATTCTACGTGAAATTTGAGGGTTACTTTATTACATATTCCCTATACCTAGAAGTTATAGACTTTGAGATACTACTTTTTAAAGAAAAAATGATGCAAGGGTTCGCGGAGATGGTAGTAACTCGTTCCAGGAGCGTGATATCGAGCAGATTTTTAGTACCTGTAAAGGGCTTAGGTAACGCTAAATTATGGTCTACTAACAAATTAAAACATTTAATGTTAGGTGTTTCATTTTTGCTGTTAATTTTGATAACTAATAACAGCTATAACTTTGTTAACTTAAATGGATCACCCTGTATTTTTTACTCTGTCGTATGCAGATTGAAATTTCTTTTCAAGCGATATAAGGATTGTTAGGGTTGCCGTTACTATTTTTAGGGATTTTGCAATTTTCTATTTTTCGACGCAGTTCCCAGTGGGACATCCTGTATATGCATTACATTTTTTTTAATCACGTTCGTATTCTGCTCATTTTTTCCTAGGTATCTTCCCTTAAAATTAATGACATGACTGGATCACCCTGTATAGAGCTTTCCATATTTACCTACTATTTACATAAATCATTATTTTTTACGTTCATGAGAGGTTTTATGTAAATATTTTATTATTGCTAATATATTAATATTAAGTTTAATGTGTGCAAATAATACTACTATATTTCATATTAACAAAGATTCAAGTAAAGAATTATTTTCACAGCTTAATATTTTAAACTAATTGTAAGTGAAAGCACAATTTGACTTATTGTATATTTTTTTAATTATAATTTTCTAGTAACTAAGCACAGCACACCCTTTGAAGATAAATTTGTTTTAAATGTTAAAATCTTATTTTAAATCCTATAGAAGGTTGAGAAGTTTTAACCGTTTCCTAATTTGTGGTTTTCATAGCTTCAGACTCAACCAAACCGAGTTTGAAAATGTGGAAAGTTCTGAATTATTTAAAGTATAACTCGAAATAATGTTTTATTTTGTTTAAAATATTTGAAATTCCTCTGCTTTCATAGAAGTTTCTGCCATCCAACCACAGTTAACGCAAACTTATATCTGAAAATCCGGAATTGAATTATTTTAAATATCTAAGATTGTAATAAATAAAGTCATGTTTTGCATTTAATAGAATTTATTCTTTCCGATATTCAAGTTTTCAAATCCCACATTTCATCTTAAAACCCCAAAAACAGTAAACAAAATATTCGTTAATTCATTTAGAGCTTTTTATGTGTTATGGAATCGAAGTTTACCGAAACTGGATATCTGCTAATTAGTATAATTAATTAAAAGTTTAATTCCCTTTGACTTTTAAAAATTAACTTCAACTCTGGCACGTTAAGCTTTTCGTAAGAACTTTAAAGCAGTACCTATTTAATTTACAACTTGGGGGGTAATTTTGAGCCGTTAAACAGACTAATATAATTAAGACAGAAAATGAATGAGTCCGTAAATTTATAATAAATTTATTAATTAATGCTCTGAACTGAGTAGTAGACGGCAAATATTTTGTAATATTAAAAATATAATTAATGTATTATTTAGCTAAAAATATGATAGAATAGTTGTAAACACATTAACAAAATATTAGGTAACGATAGACACATTTTTTTTTGCAAACGGTTTTGTGCATAATCATACAAATATTAATTGGAAGACCTTCAAATTTTAATTCTGGTCAAATTGGTCACTAGAAGAAAAGTAAAGTCATTTTTGAGACACAGGGTGCTGGAATTTAAATAAAATACATTTTCTAATATATTTCTGAAAACGTACGACGTCAAAGAAATGAAATTTGGTAAAATAAAGGTGAAAGCATGCTGAATTTATTAATAAATATTGTTATGATATTGAAAGCCGATAACGATACACAATTACATAATACAATGAAATTTTGAAAATTATGACATACTAAAACAGAGAACTCTCACAACAGGGATGTGTTATACTATATACGAGAAATGAAGCATACAAATTAACGTATATAATAAGTTTTAGTACATAAAAGACAAAATCGTTACATGATAACATCAATCTGTAAAAATAATTTAAATAATGCAAAATTTTAAATTAAATAGTTTAATGAAAGCAATAATACATACTAGAAAGTTAAAATGTATAACCTAGTACAACTTTGTAATATTCATCATATAGGAGCATTTGTTTGGGGAAATTTGAAAAATTAAGATTTTGACAGGCAGATTATCGTAGGACAAGAACGAGTTGTACTTATAAATAAAATCCATGCAATAAAATAAGACTATAATTAAAGTTCATCATACCTTTAGTCTACATTTATGAGTGGAATTAAAATTAAAGTTCTTGATATAATTTTATATAGATTTTCGAAATGTCAAACCCATAACTCAACATTGTGTAAATGATAATTCTCAGATGTAAAATGAACTGTGTTGTGTTAAAAAGACCTTCTATTCATACAAGACTGTATTTAAATCCCAATTTACAATCCTAGTAGTGTATAAACATTGAAAGTTGTCAAGAAACGATCACCCCGAAAACATTTTAGTTATTAGTTAACGCATACCAGATAAAACTGTTCAAAATAGTGAAATTAACTTAATATCAATGTTGCAGAACAATACTATTGACATAGAATTAAGCTAGATATCATAAATTGGTTAAATTTAAAGAAATGAACAAAATTTTGTAGAAACTTTAAAAATCAACGTAACATAAAAATTTGGGTATGTAAATTTGCAGAAAATTATGTAGAATCCGTATATCAGTGCCATGCTGCAAAAGACATACATAAAGGCATAATTCCAGTTTAAAAATTTCATAAAGCTTCAAACTAATGTTGCTATAACAACAACCTCATTTGTTATCAATTTATAAAAACTGTTACAGGACTTCTAGTAGTCAGTCTTTCATAATTTGTCGAACCATAAACATCGTTCAGTCACTCCTAAAATAAACAAAAGCCAGACAAATTAAATAAATAAATGTATACGTAGTTACCAGTTTTCAAACAACAACAGCAAGTGGTATTCTGACAACTGTCAAAAGTGAAAATTTTCCAGCAGTTAAAAATTTCTCAACAGTCCAAATATTCACTGAGATTTATATGAAGGGAATAAGTGTCATTTAACCAAAAGTGCAAGGTATAAATTTCCAATTAATACTAGTGAAGTGCTGTGAGAAAATACAACGACAGATGAAGTGTAAACCCAATCAACCATTGGAATATCAAGTATATGGAACCAGTTCTTCGATGTAGATCATACAAAACCCTACATCGACCAGGACGAGGTTCACGACATCTGGATGGCATCTCCGAAACCAGAAATACACTAAAGCGATATGCGAATCACATACTTCTACAAATTGGCCAATTTAAAAATTTCATCGGACGAATTCGTATATAACAATTAAACTTATAGCTATAAAAATTCTGTTTTAAAATACCAAAGTCGACGAAATATCAAAATTTCACCTTCTAAATTAGTATAGCATAAAGTAGATTTAGGGTAATAAGTAAGAATACAACTTGTCAATTGTCTGCAAAATTAGATATGCAATATATTTTGTTCATTTCATGTTAAATAGTATTTTTCATTTCGTATATATATAAAAAATTTTGTGAAACACACCCTG